CTTTCTGGAGACTTTATTGATGCCAACGACCATGGCCAGGACTCTGATGCCAATGCCGAACAGTCAAACAGAAAGCAAAGAGTCTTTGAATCCCAAATGCCATGGTTCTCTCGAGAAGAAGAGGAAAGGTGCACTGGAAGCAAGGAATGTGAAGAATCATGCAGAATCCTTGCTCTGTTCACTAGAGACCCCAAAGCAATCAAGCAGTGGATCCAGAACTCCAGAACTGCACCCCTCAGATTCCCAACTTCGGAATGGGACAATATTGTCAGAGGACAGGCGGTCAATCTCAATGCCATGCTCTCATCATTGCACCATATATCTGCTCCTAAGGAGAACATTGGATGCATGGGATCCAGTACTTTACAGTGCCCCACCTATTCCTGCAGGAATTCAGTCATTCCAGTGGAATTCCAGTGGAATCCACAGGAATCTGCAGGAATCTGCAGGAATCTGCAGGAATCTGCAGGAATTACACAGGAATCCTCTGAACTCATGTAAATTTACCAGTACATGTCCTGATCAGCTGAAGTCATGTGACTTAATAACTAACTTAATACTCAAAATAAATTTGAAGTCAATAAACCAAATTATAATGTATTTAAAATGACATAAAACATATTTTATTATATACTACTATATACAATCTATATTTAAGGAAGGAGAGGTACAAGGCAAGGGGGTGGGGACAAGGGGAGCAGGCTATGGAGAAGGAAAGGGGCAGGGAGAAGGAAAGGGGTAGGAAGGGTGGAGAGTTATGGAGGGGGTGATGGAGAAGGGAGGGAGGGGAAGGGGTGATGGGGAGGGGAAGGAGGGGAGTGAGGGAGCAGGAGGGGTGGTGACATGGTTGTAGACACGTTGGCGTGAACAGGGTGTGACTGTTGCATCACTGCACAAAAACCCACCAGGTGGTTGGCGATAGATCCTACCAAAAAAAAAACACCATGACAAGCCTATGAGACATGTCGTCGTGCCTACAGCTGTACCATTGGAGCTAGTGGTTGGCAGTGGAGCGGTCCGCAGACATTGGGGAGTGACAGAGCGAAGTCCTGGTGTGCCGGAGCATCATTGTGCCTACATCAGGCTGATACAGAATGCCCCACCCCTTGATTCCACTGATTGGGCACTAGGTGAATGAGCGGAGAATCCAGCCTCCAGGCATATGTAGCTTGTGAACCATGTTGTCGCACCTACAGCCATACCACTGGTGCTGGTGATTGG